TGTCCCAATCTCGGTTTATCTTGTATCAAATTATCTGAACTCCAGGACGATTTGAAGAACCTTGAACATCTCGATTACTCGGAAATAGATCATGAATGATCCACATAGACACTTTGAATCTGATTGGACATTTTACGATACTACAGACATTATTGCAGTCTTGGTTGATCTAGTAGAACAAATCAACTGATGTCCTGGACGATTTGGAAAACCTATAATTTGCGGTATACATACGATTCGGTTATGATTTGACAACGAAAAGTGCTAGGTTCATATTAGAAATGAATAAAATATCATGAAAATGTCTCACCATTGGACAGACCCCAAGGAATATTAGTGTAAATACACAACCGCGACGTGACCAACAAGTGTGACTTATGAAACTCTGACAATTTCTCGATTATGTGCAGGGTGTTGGTTTGAATCGGTAAAAAATTGAGAAAACTAGAGCCAAATTAACTTCAACATTTAGGCCAGTAAAATACGTCAGAGACGCAAAGGTTAATTTTCAAGAAAATTTGCATTTCAAAGGAATGCGAAATAATGTTTCTTTAAATCTAGGCCGGTATTATTCAATAGAATTTCATAATGTAGGGGTGTTTTATTATGTTCGCTAATTACTCAGAATTTATACTATGTTATTTAATAATGTTATTTAAAAAAAATCAACGGTTACAAACGATACTCATTTAGCTCAGTCAGTAAAGGCGCAGCTACAAAGCAAGTCAAAGCTGGAGCTCACTGAGTTCGATTCCCGTCCGGTCTATTAATTTTTTGGGTTGGAAAATGTCTCTACTTCCTTGGGCATAGGATGGTACAGGCATTGAAAGCTATCAATTAAAATGTGAAAGTAATTCAAAGAACACTAAGTTGCGAGCAGGCAAAATTCTAATATGCTACTATGGCTTGTACTCGAAAAAAATGAACCATTTTTATCCGTGTGTAACTTTTTTATCCGTGGGTAAAAATTGATGAAAATCTGGGTATAACTAGTTTATTGTGCAAAATTTCATAACAATCGGTTCAGTGGTTATTGAGATGTCATCGAAACAAGAAGAAAATCACCGGAGAATTTTGCGCGTCGTCATGGAAAATCCGACTGCGACCATGAGATGGATCGGAAGACAACTGGGAACCACCCATACAACTGTGTCTCGGGTTGGAAGTGGAAGAAAATCGAAGACAGCTGACCCTGTGAAGGCCCGGAAGGTGTTGGATTATTTCAAGCGGAATTCGAACCTTTCGATTAGCGACGCGGCTCTGAAGGCAAAGTGTTCCGCCTGGTTCGTTATGCAAACCATGAAACGAGCTGGGATTCGTGTATTCAAGGTCCGGAAGGCACCGAACCGGCGTGATCAACAAAACACGGCGGCCAAATCCCGCGCAAGGAAGCTGTATCGAGAGTGGTTAACGAAACCGATTTGTGTGGTTATGGATGACGAAACCTACATCAAGGCAGACGCAAAGCAGATACCGGGGCTGGAGTTCTACGTTGCCAAATCACGGTTTGATGTTCCGGAGGACATAAGGAAGGAAAAAGTGGACAAATTCACCAAAAGATACTTGCTCTGGCAGGCCATATGCCAATGTGGTAAACTGAGTAAACCGTACATCACAATGGGTACCATCAACAGCGAAATTTACCGCACCGAGTGCCTCTAGAAGCGTCTGTTGCCCTTCCTGCGGTCCCACAGAGGCGAGACATTATTTTGGCCGGACCTGGCATCATGCCATTACGCGCGATCGACGTTGGATTGGTACAGAGACAATAACGTTGTTTTTGTACCAAAAACCGCCAACCTCCTAAATTCACCAGAGATTCGTCCGGTGGGAATATTTTGGGTCATAATGAAGGCCAAAGTTCGAAAATCGTCCAAGGTGTTTAAGAACGAGCTGGAGTTGAAGAAAGAATGGATGAAAGTGACCAAAAAGGTCGGCTCCACCATTGCACAAAATGTAATGAGAGGCCTTAAGGGAATGGTGCGGGCTTTCAGCGATGGAAAGGAAATTGAATAAAGTAATTATGCCGAAACATAATCCATATGTATTAGTTCATTCCCTGAAAGTTTCAAGAAAATCCAACTTATAATAAATTTTTGGCGAACACTTTTGTCTGGTGCATTTTTTTCGAGTACAGGCCTTATATAAGCAATTAGCTTGAAATGCCATGTAGTAGGGGAAATGCAGGTAATGTCGGCCTAAGTGTCCCTAATTTGGGTCCATACATAAATTCAGCAATCGACTAAATTTTCCATAGCAACCAAAAATATTCATTAGTAACGTCCCAATAACGCGTTCATCTAGATAAAATTGATAAATAGTAGATTTTTAGCGATGGACCCAATCTTAGATCCATAGGCCAACATTAGAGACATTTCCCCTAGTATACAAGTGCTATTTTTGGGCAATGAAAACAGTTTTTTTTGTCGCGGATTAGTATTTGAAGTCGCGGATTTCGCGGATCAAATTTAGAAAATCTTGTAACAGCCCTGGATTTGGTACAACCTCGGTGGACAATCGACAAAAAGAATAAACTGAAAAAGAAAACTTCCCCCTTACTTTGAAGTAAACAAAGTAGTAAACCTTAGCAACGATTAGTAAAATGGCAACACAAAGCAATGAACGTGCCGATCAGTGTGCTACGATGTGCTCCGGCACAGTGTGCAGAGTTGATTACCCCTTGCATATTTCGCTAATTTACCAGACGTCATCAATCAAGTTCGGCATCAGGCTTCATCCACAAGGGGAGTATTTATAATCGTTAACGCAAAATTGGTTTACTATAGTGTGATTGGATCCAATAGCAACAACCAACAACAGTTTTAAATCACTGTATCTTATGTGATGTATTGTGGCTTACGTGGCATCCGTTGTCGCATGTAGAGGAGATTTTGGAAAAAAAGGATCTTTAGTGGATGAACAGCCTTTGAAGATTTCCCCTAACAAACTCTACGCCGAAGTAACGTGTTGCTGAAGAGTGCCATCATCAAGTCCCAATATGAGAAGGTGGAGGAATCGGTGAAGCACCTAGATATCACCGAATGGATGTCGATCGCGATGGTTCTATACCGTTTCAGGATTACAGGGAACAGCGAAAGAGACGAACTTCATCCCATTATCAAACAACAAGGAGTAGTGAAAAGGAAATTGTATCCCAGAAACCCCACGGTGGACAAAGAGCGGATGCAATCAACAAAACCTACGCATTATAGGATCACTATGAAGATTGGATAGTAATTGGAGATTTTATGCCTCAGAAAATCCCGGCGGCGCCCCATGTAACATGACGGATAAAGCAAACAAAGATAAAGCTCGATTCAAAGTAAATCTGGACGCACGGTTTAATACACCACCGCGCCCCTGGTGGTTGGAACTAAAAACGTTTGACATGCTGTTTGTTGATGTTTCATTGACGAAGAAATTGGTGAAAAGTTTTTCTCGATTGATCAATGCATCCCGAAATTACGGATCATGGAACTTGAGAAAAGAAAATTAATTGTGCACAAACATCTAGAGAACCCTTCGTGGTCTGCCTTAAAAATAGCAAAAGTGTTAAAATTCCCAAATTCAACGGTGAGTCTTGTAATCAAACGTTACAAGGATACTCTGAGTGTGGATAGAGCACAACGCATCTATCATAAAATCTCAAATCTATCATAAATCATCTAGGAACAAAGAGCTGAGGAGCAAGGTGTTGAGGTACGTGAAAAGCAACCCAGGTGTCTCCATACGTGATTTGGCAAAGAAATACGATTCCAACATCCTTTCAAGAGAAGGATATAAGTCTTTTTGTGCCAGTAAACATCCGATTACACACGATTACCATACGAACGAGTTTTGACGAAATTTGATGGCTGTATTTTAAAGGATGACGAAACATATGTCAAAATGGATTATAAACAAATCCCCGGACGAAAATTTTACCTGTCAACTGGTCGTGGGGATGTCCCTTCCAGGTATATATTTGTTTTTGCTGATAAATTTGCTCGGAAACTAATGATTTGGCAAGGAATCTGCAGTTGTGGCCTTAAAACCAAGGTTTTCATCACATCTCACACAATGACGTCGAAGGTTTACATTAAAGAGTGTCTGAAAAAGCGGATTTTACCCTTCATTCGGCAACACAAGACCAACGTTATGTTTTGGCCGGATCTAGCCAGCTGCCACTACTCTAAGGAGGTACTAGATGTTAATTAATGTTAATTTAGTCGCCAAAGAGATTAATCCTCCGAATTGCCCTGAGTTCAGAACGATCGAAAAATATTGGGCAATTGTCAAGCGAAAACTTCGAGGATGCGGTAAAGAAGTGACAAATGCACAACAAATGCGTTTAAAGTGGAATAAGTTCGCCGGTACAGCCGGTACGTCAACAAATTCCTTCCCATTCCCTATTTGACCTGCATTCGGACACGGCCGGCACTACTATTGCTAAATATTAGATCTCCAGTTTTTACACATTGATGATGAATGTTACTCCTAAACATCATCTGTTTGTTCTCTGTGTAATAGAGATTGCTGACGTTTACTGTACGCACACTACGTCACGCAAAATGGTTTCATCAGGAAAAAAAAAACTTCATAGCGGAAAATTTTCCTGATGAATACAAATAACTGACACAATCACACTTTAGCAATCTCTAGAGAGATTACCACGTCCAGTTGAATTGGTGCGATATGTGAGAGCGTGTTAGTTAAAATCCAAGAAAAATACATAACAAATCGCTGTCAAGGTCATTTTCACCCATCTAATTTCATAAATTTTTTAGGTTAGCCAAAGGAAAATAATAATTAACTTTACGTGGCAATACATCCGCTAGGTTGCGTGCGTTAAACATCACTAATCTCTATTGCAGCTGATCTGGCAATAACAGATCAGCAATCGTGGGCGGTCAATCATGCCCATGCTCAAAGCATATTATGCACTAACAGCAAACAAAAATGAACACATTCCACGCTTTTCCGATTCACAACCGGCACACACCGTTCTTCCAACAACTTACTCGAACAGCACTCCGGCCTCGTCTCGGTTGATCCGCTCCCCGGACAGCACGTGCAGAAATGCATTGGCAAAGCACGCGAAGAACACATTCGGACACATCACGTAACCGCCATCCTTCGTCATGAACTCACTCTCGTGCGCGTGCTTCGGCCCATACCGGAGCATCTCGATCAATGTGAGAATTTCCGAATTGGTTTCCGCTTCCAGCTCGTCGAACCTCCGGCCGAACCCGTAGTCGCGCAGATAGCGCAGAATGAACCGTCTCTGCTCCTTCCAGTCGGGACCCTCGGTGAAGAAGATCCCCCTGCGCTGGAAGTTCTTCTCCCGCATCCGGGCCAGGAACAGGTTCGGACGGCCATCGAACTCCACTCGATTCAGCACTTCCTTAACAATGGCCAAATCGTTCACCACAATCGTTTCAAAGCTGGCCAGGTAAATGCCGAGGATGTTGGTCTTGTAGTACTCGCACAACTTGGCCGCAGCCTTGTGAACGTGCCGAAAGTTGATCATCAGCAGGATGGCATAGCCGCCCAGGAACGGAATTCGCGGCGGTCCACTGGGGAAGTTTTTCGGCTTATCAAATAGGAACTTGTAGCACCGGATGGCAATCAAACCGACCGTTATCAACCACAGAAAGATGGTCGGTGTTACGAACATGGTGTTTCTTGAGATACTTTTGATTCGTACGGAAGACTAGCAGCAACTAAACGCAACACCACTGGTGGTGGCTAACTTTATAAATTCGAACCGTGCCGATCGATCCCAAAAGTGCCTGATAAGCCGGTGGGGACTGTGGATTTGCTGCTCATTTTATTCGACCATAACGCCACTCGCTTCTGCAGTGAACGAGAGTGTACCATGATGCATTGCGCTCGGGAGATAGACGAGCTTTCTACGTTGCCTTGGCCCTATCTAATGGGAACGATTCAGTTGTGGTGCATGTGTAACTACGCATTTCCGACTGATTATCATCCCGAATATGGAAGGATTTAGAGAGGAAACGAAAACAAGTTGGTTTCTGTTTCCGAACGGTTTTTCCCACGTGAGCTCACAGCTGATGTGACCGGTTCCGAAAGTTGTTGACGCCCTTTGCCAACATGACAAACTGGTTTTGGGCAGTAGGTCGGAATCTATCTTCCTATGCACAAACAAAACAACTAGCTCTTGATGGTTGATTAGTTCGTAGTTGGGTTTAAAGGGCCCAGCAGTAGATTTCTACTGGATTGATGTTTGTCTGTCTGTCTGTCTATGGCTGATTCACATCGGCGGAGGGGGGATGGGGCTTGAAACAGTAGTATATCAATCCACTGATAGAAACGTATATGACTACAGATTAAATCGTCAACGTATACAAGAATGTATTCCATCGTATGTTCAAGGTGGCCACTGACCTGGGAAACTCGGAAGAACCGGGAATTTTATTGGAACCATACAAGATTCTGGCGGTGTTCAATTCAACCTTCTTACCAACGAAGTTATTGATGGCAATTGGTTCTTGAGCATTACAGATGTGCGTGGCATGAAGATGGGTAATTATGGTGTTTTGTATGATTCTGAAGTCTTAAAGAATTAGCTCGAGACATTCCTTGATTCTAGTAAATTAAATATTTATTGGCTGGAGATTTTAATATTAATTGGCGTGATCATGGTGACCAGTGAACCGGGAAATCGGGAAAACCGGGAAAAAACCGGGAATTTTGATAAAACATCGGGAAAAATATTACATCAGCAACATGCACGGCTAACTCATAGCTATGAGTAACCTTACTTTTTACAAAAATGAGTTATTTTTCCTATAGGGAGGAAATTTTCTGAGTCATTTTGAAACATCCTGTGAGTTAAACTGGTTAACCTTGTGCTTTTATTCTCTTTTAGCTTTCTACTTCCAGGGTAAACCCGTTCGGATTGACTTTTTCTTTTATCATTCGTTCCCATTGTGTACTCTCCCTTTTATGGCACAGACCTGATGGTCCATATTGAGTTCTCCAAGCAGGATCTCCAAGGGGGGGAGGTGGCTGTCAAATACGAACAATCGTCGCCTACCTCGCATGCCTCGCATAACTGGTTCCAAACGTAAACACGCCATAAGAAACATACAGCGTTTGTTTACGTTTGGAACCAGTTTCATACAAGAATAATCAGTAGGCTGATTTGACAGCACGTCCCCCCCCCCAGAGGATCTCACGAACACTACACTAATAACATAACTTTACACACACTAGCGCATACTGTCATGTGCACGGTAAGAATCAAACATCCATTTATGAGTCAAAGTGAACCCATTGTCAATAAAAGCGGCACCACTAATTAATGAGTAATTCATTATGCCAATTACGTAGTAACTGTTAGCTACTGTTAGCAGAAACTCATTGTTTTTTTTTTTTTTTTTTTTTTTAACTCTATTTGTTCCAAATTCAAAATAAATTACATTTCATTTTAACCTAGGTGCTCCAGTTACTGCAGTAACGTACCAGCCTTAATTGTTATGATATATATCTAAGTGTTTTTACATTGTTCATGTCTTGGCAATTCAGTATTTTAAACAGGTTTTTTAACCTGCATGTCAGTATAACAATTGATATCTTAAAACTAAAAACTAAAACTAATCTTATCTAAGTATAAAGGGAATTAATCGTTGCAATTGAGGATTGCAACGATTTTTGCCTGAAATTATTAATTATTTTGTTGGACATTTGTTCTAAAGTCTCAACATTCGAAATTCTATGTACTTCGGTAGTACTGTACCAGGGAGGCAACTTCAAAATCATTTTCAGAACTTTGTTCTGAATCCTTTGAAGTGCTTTTTTCCTGGTAGTGCAGCAACTAGACCATATTGGCACAGCGTAACATGGCCGGTCTAAAAACTTGTTTAAATATTAGAAGTTTATTCGTCAGGCAAAGTTTGGATTTCCTGTTTATAAGAGGATACAAACATTTTATATATTTGTTACATTTGGCATGAATGCCCTCAATGTGATCTTTAAAAGTTAATTTTTGGTCAAGTATTAATCCAAGATATTTCACTTGGTTTGACCAGGAAATTGGAACTCCGTTCATAGTGACTATGTGACTACTACTAGGTTTCAAAAACGAAGCTCTAGGCTTATGTGGAAATATTATAAGTTGAGTTTTGGAAGCGTTTTGAGAAATCTTCCATTTTTGTAAATAAGAAGAGAAAATATCTAAACTTTTCTGCAGTCTGCTGCAAATAACACGAAGACTTCCTCCTTTAGCGGAAATGCCTGTGTCATCAGCGAACAAAGATTTGTGGCAACCCTGAGGCAAATCAGGGAGGTCCGAAGTGAAAATGTTATACAATATAGGCCCAAGAATGCTACCCTGAGGAACTCCTGCCCTAACAGGTAGTCGATTAGATTTGGAATTTTGATAATTTACTTGATGAGTTCTGTCAGTTAAATAATTTTGAACTAATTTCATAATATAAAGTGGAAAATTAAACTTTTTCAATTTAGCAATCAAACCTTCATGCCAAACACTGTCGAATGCTTTTTCTATGTCTAGAAGAGCAACTCCAGTTGAGTGGCCTTCAGATTTGTTTGAACGAATTAAATTGTTAACTCTTAAGAGTTGATGAGTAGTTGAATGCCCATGGCGAAATCCAAACTGCTCATCTGCAAAAATTGAGTTCGTATTGATGTGAAGCATCATTCTATTCAAAATTATCTTTTCAAAAAGTTTACTTATTGAAGAAAGCAAACTTATTGGACGGTAGCTAGAAGCTTCAGCTGGATTTTTATCCGGCTTCAAAATTGGAACAACTTTTGCATTTTTCCATTTATCAGGAAAGTATGCCAAATGGAAACATCTGTTAAATAATTTTACCAAGAAAGACAAGGTACTCTCTGGGAGTTTTTTGATGAGGATATAGAAAATTCCATCATCACCTGGAGCTTTCATATTTTGAAACTTTTTAGTTATAGACCTTACTTCGTCCAAATCAGTCCCCCAGGAATCATCAAAAATATTTTCCCGAGAGAAAATATTCAGAAAATCCCGAGCAACCTGATTCTCAATAGGACTAGTAAGACCCAAACTGAAATTATGGGAACTCTCGAATTGCTTAGCAAGTTTCTGAGCTTTTTCCAAATTTGTGATCAAAATTTTACCACCTTCTTTAAGCGCTGGAATAGGCTTTTGAGGTTTTTTCAAAATTTTTGTGAGTTTCCAAAAGGGTTTGGAACTCGGGTCTAATTTAGAAATATTATTTTCAAAAGTTTTGTTCCTCAGGGCAGAGAATCGCTTTTTAATTTGTTTTTGCAAATCCCGCCAGATAACTTTCATGGCAGGATCGCGTGTTCTTTGAAATTGTCTCCTACGGACATTTTTAAGACGGATCAAGAGCTGAAGATCATCGTCTATTATAATTGAATCGAATTTAACCTCGCATTTTGGTACTGAGGCAGCTCTTGCTTCAACTATAGAAGTAGTAAGAGATTCAAGAGCATAATTAATTTCATCTTTGGTTTGCAAAGGAATGTTTGGATCGAAGTTATATTCCATAAATGTTCGATACTGCTCCCAACCAGCTCTATGGTAATTGAAAGTAGAGCTGTTGGGATTACAAATTATTTCTTGGGATATTTCAAAAGTTACTGGAAGGTGATCAGAACCGAAGTCAGCATGGGTAACCAGTTGGCTACAAAGTTGACATGAATCAGTTAAGACCAAATCAATAGTTGAGGGATTTCTTGCAGAAGAAAAGCATGTTGGACTGTTTGGATATTGAATAGTGTAATAACCTGCAGAACAATCATCAAACAGAATATTACCATTGGAATTGCTTTGAGCATTATTCCATGAGCGGTGTTTTGCATTAAAATCACCAATAATGAAGAATTTAGACCTATGACGGGTAAGTTTCTGGAGGTCACCCTTGAGAAAATTATTTTGCTGGCCTACGCATTGGAATGGCAAATAGGCAGCTATAAACGTAAGTTGTCCAAATTTTGTTTCAACAGAAACTTTGGTTTCAAATGAAGAAAGAATTTTATGTTTGATTCGTCTATGAATAATGATGGCAACGCCACCACAGGGTCCATCAAGACGATCATTTCTATAAATCAAGTAATTTGCGTCCTTCTTAACCTTATGGACAGGTTTAAGGAACGTTTCAGTTATAACGGCAATATGCACGTTATGAACTCTCAAAAAGTTAAATAGCTCGTCTTCATTATCTTTAAGAGATCGAGCATTCCAATTTACAATATTTAATGCTTTAAAATCCATTACTGAATTTTAAAGTCATGACAATATTATTTGCAAATTTTACTCCAGTTTGAATAGCATCAAACATGGAGTTAGATTTAAGCATATCAGAAATCATGTCAATTAATGAATTCTGTAAAAATTCCATTTTGGGGGCAGTAATGCTTCCCAAGTCAAAATTGTCAAAATTTCCGTTAGAACGTTGGTTAGTATTTTGATTTCTACCCGCTGCAATAGCAGCATAGGTAGCTCCATTAACTCGCTGAACATTGTTAGCAGCGAGGGGAGTAGGTACAGATGAAACATTTGAAGCAGGGGTGATATTTGTAGCTACGGGTACGAATGTAGAATTTGTTCCTCGCTGACCGTTGTTAACAGCAGAGGAATTTGTACCTGGTCGGAAACGTGGAGCGTTTCCTACCTGACGGTTAGAACGAGATTGTAGGATCGCTTTGCGAGTCTTACAT